TGTGCCCAGATACTTAAATGTCTGTACTTGTCCTAAAATAACAACATCGACTTTTATTACACATTTAGGAATAATTTGTTTCTTTCATACCACCATTACTTCTGTCTTCAAACTGAGGCCCATTCTTCCACTTTTTAACACCACAATGTCTGTCATTTCCTGTAGTTCTTTCTGACTTGTTGCTATCAAGACTGTGTCATCAGCATAACGTAAATTGTTTATTTTGTGCGCACCAACCACAATTTCGGGCATATCAATTAAAGATCTCATTATATGTTCACTGTATATTAAAAACAAATCAGGTGATAGAACACATCCTTGTCGTACGCCCCTCTTTATGCTTTGAAATGTCCCTAAACAGTTGATAATTCTTATAGCTGCTGTTTGCTGCCAATATATATTCTTTATTCGTAGATCTTTTCCATCAATGTTTAATTTTTCTAACAGTTTGATTACTTCTTCATGCTTCACACAGTCAAATGCTTTTGTATATTCTATGAAGTATAAGTACAAATCAGTCTTTACTTGTTTAGCTTTTTCTGACAATGTCCTTAGAATGTAAATGGCATTGTTTGTACCTTTTCCTTCTACAAATCCGCATTGTTCACCTCTGATTTCTGGTTTAATTTTGTTTCTCATTCTTCTCATAATTTTTTTCTCAGTAAAATCTTAGTCATGTGACTCATAAGACTTATTATGCGATGGTCTTCACATTTTAAATTGCCGGGTTTCTTTAGCAGAGCTATAAATATGGAGTTTAAAAGATCATTTGGAATGTACCCACTATTATAAATATCATTTAAAAAGTTTAGTTATTATTTCAGTTCCCAAATCTCCCAGTGCTTCGATTTCTTCCAGTGAGATTTTGTCTGGCCCCGGGGCTTTTCCTTTCTTCATATGATGTATTGCATCCTCCATCTGCTAATTATATTACTATGTCCCATTAATAAGTCACCATCTTTTGATTTTAAACATCCAGTGCTGTTACGTGTCATCTTTCCAGTTAAGATATTTATCTGTTGGTACATGTGATTTTCCCCAATCTCTGTGCATATTTCATTCAGCCAGGCTTCTTTAGCCACTTTGCATTTGTTCACTATTTATTTTTGTATACTATAGTATTCTTCTTTATCGTTCTTTTTATTCCTTCTTACATCCATCAACTGCAGAATATCGGTTGACATACATTTCTGTTTTTGCAACTCTATGGGTTGGTGGGATTGTCTCTTTTGACGTCTGCTGAATTGACTCACGCAACATATCCCACTGTTCATCAATAGTCTGTATAATTTTCATTGCATTATTCCGGTTTTGTACAGTGACAATGTACTGTTCCATATTTTCGCTATCCATTCTAGGAATGGATAAATACCTTGATGTTCTGTGGTGTTTTTCTAATGTTTTTTTTTTAATTTTATTTTATTTTTTCCTACAACTGGAACAAGGTCACTAAAGCAGTTTGCTCCTGGTCTAGTTTTTGCTACAGCTAAGCTGCTCCGGAAATTTCTTGAAATCAAAATATAATCTATTTGATTGCGGACATTATCGCCAGGACTTTTCCAAGTCCACAATCTTCGATGATGGTGTTTAAACCAGGTGTTACCTATTATCGTGCTGTGCGACTCGGCCCATGCTATTAATCTGTCACCTCTCGCATTCTTTTCTCTTAGCCATAGCCACCCGTTATATCGTACACTTTTTCACTTCCTATTTTTGCGTTGATATCTCCAAGTGGTGTACAGAAATGAGGGCTGTCGTCAATCCGGTATATGCGTCTGTTTTGTGGTTTTCTCTGGACAACATAATCGTTAAAGCTAATGTCCCAAGTCTCACGATAGATGGTAGAAACGTGAACAGAGAGAGCAAACTGAAGTATCTGGGAATTACATTTGACAGGAGCCTATCCTTTAAGGACCATGTGGAGAGTGTTGTGACGAGATTCCAAAAAGGACTTAGTGCACTTTAGACTATGGCTGCAATTGACATAGAGCAGAGAATGCTTTTCACACTATATTAGCACCTGATCCTGTCAGTGGTTGATTATGGCCTATGATTGCTTACCTTCTCAAAGAGTCAGATAGACAAACTAGAGCGCATACAGAACGCGTCTATGCGGGTCATTCTGGGTTGCACCAGAGACACCCCAGTGGTGTGTATGCGAAAGATCCTTGGTTTGCGGACGGTTGCAGGTAGGCACAAGGTGCTGCAGGTACATTTGATCAACAGCTATGTCTAACTTGTTATAAAATGCGTCAATATCTTCATCTGAACTATCTGCTGTTGGGGCATAAATCTGTACTAAGGTGATGTCAAACGGTCTGCCGCGAAGTTTTACTAATAGTACTCTATCTGATATTGTCCAAAATCCTTTCACAGTTTTTGAGTTCTTTGGATCCAAAATATTACCAACTCCCTTGCTATATTCCTTCCCACCTAATTATGTGCTGATCTGAATACTTTTCCCCTGTTCCTGGCCATCGCATTTCACTAATTCTTAATTTGTTGATGTTCATTCTCCTCATTTCCTTCTTGATATTATCCAGCCTTCCGTTTTGTACGAGTGTTCTACCATTTACTTTTTCTACAGTAGCTGGATGACGGTCGGGTATCACCCGTAGAACATGATGCTCCCTACCGGACGATGTGATTCCACTGGAATCGACATTCACGTCGTTATCTGAATTCGTAGTATTCTGAGGCATGATTGACTAGCGATAATACAGTAGTGGTTTCCCCCGATTTGTATATGGTTTGACTCCAATAGCCTTTGTCTAAAGAGACTTACCCTGCAAGTCAGCAGGGAAAAGGGGGGGGGGGGAGAGAGAGAGAGGTTATAGCGCCTTTTACCCGCCGATGGCCATGTCGTGGAGTTTTGAGGTGTTTTATAGAGTTAGCTGTCCCACCAACTATCTCGCCTCCTCTGAATGACCATCACCTGTTTTGATCCACGGTCACTTATTCAATATATTCGTGGCTTACCTCTATATCTAGAGGCCTTTCCACCATCCACCTGGTGGGCGCGCCTTGTAGTAGGACAGGCTCCTACCCTAGTTACCATATAAAGAGGAAATAAGAGAAACGATGAATCTTCGAAAAGAAGGAAAGGCGGTAGGTCCAGATGGTAACCCAGCAGAAGTTATTAAGACCAATATAAACATGTCAACAGAACTGCTACACAAATTATTTAGGAAAGTCTGGGAGACCAAAGAAATACCAGCAGACTGGAGAGCAGTATATCTTGTTAAACTGCCCAAAAAATGTGTTATACAAGAATGTAAAAACTATAGAGGAATTATGTTGCTGTTAGTTCCTGTAAAATGTTGAGTAAGATTATTTTAGTTGATCTCAGAAATCTGATAATAGTAGTTGTTGTGGTTGCCCCGGTGGATACAACGTCAGGCTGCCATGCGGGAGACAGTGACGTTAAATTACAGGCACTTTGGTAAATACGCATACGCAGCATTCGGGACGCACCACTTTCAACATGTGCCAGCGATGTGCGTTTTCATTTTCCGCTTAACTTTGCCGTGTAGTTTCAGTAATACTTGAAGTTCTATTTGTCTTTGAGAAAACAATTGCCTGCGGATTTGTGTTGTCTTAACAATGTCTTTCGAAACACATACACAGAAGAAGGGCTGCCCGAAATGTTTAAACGCTTGGTTTTCGGGGGGAGACCCGGGTTCGAATCCTCGGTACACCTGGTTATGTTTTTTTTTTTACTTGGGGTCAAACTAATATCCTCACCTGCACAGTCTTGGCGACAGCACTAACCATGCGGCCCTAAATACTAAATACTCAGGCTCAAAGACACCCCCCCCACCCCCCTTGGCTACACCCATTGATGAGGGAGAGAAAAATAGTCTGTGGTGTTCTTTTTTTTTTTTTTTTTCTTGGGGAGGGGGGGGGGGGTGTTGGGAGGGCCAGAGGACAAAGTTGGCGATGACAGTAACTGATAACTGAGAGGGCTTACTGTTACAGTAACCGCCTTGTGGCGCTAAAAAATATTCTGACTCCCGACACGTTGTCTACACCGGCCTAGAAAGGTGGTAAAACAGACAGTAGTGACATTATTTCAGCTGTTGTAGTGGTGGTAGCAGTAGTTGTATTGGCACTTGATGGCTGCTGTTGTAAATATTACACCAGCCGCATTTACGTCTTATTACCGTTCCTGTTACCCATTTTAGTCTGGGTGGACACAGATGCCAAGGTCTATTACATTAATTTTTGTCACGTGACGAATTGTAAATCCCTTAGGAGAGGGAGAGATAGAAGTAGTCAGAAAAAAAAACACAGTTGTTTCAAAAATGTATGCATGTGACGCGGTCCTTCGCCATTGCGCTTAAAGACTGCGTGTATGCTTGTGAACTAGTAGATCATTAATTTTCCAAATTTCGCATACTACTATTTAATTTCACTTTTTTTTCCGATTGCATGGTTACGTTGAATTTTTATAGATTTCCGTTTATTTTCATTTTTGATTTACCTATTTCGTCTTAAATCAATGCAAAACTTGTGGCCAAGAGAGACACCGGTACATGCCAAACTTTACGGGCCGCTGACTGAATTACAACAGACAGTGAAGTTATTACTAGAGACACCATTGAAGATAATATATTTCAAGCGGACAAAAGAAGAAGAATGTACTTTCTGTCATTTCTGACACAAATGTTCCGCATAACATTATGCCAAACCGTTCCCAATCTTCTCTCTCGTTTCCCTCTGCCTCTCTGTCTCTCCATCTTACCCGCTCTACTCCAGTTTTTTTTTCTCTTTCTTCCAATGTGACCAAAGAATGTGTCCACAAAGTAAATAATCGGCTGTCTTTTGTGAGTTAATTCCTACCAATACAACTTCATAACACAAGTTTCAATCTTCCTCATCGATACAATAGTTTATATAACAACTATTACACACACACACACACACACACACACACACACACACACACACACACACGTAAACCTAATTCAAATCACAGTTGCTTATGTTATGGTACTCACCTTCTAAAAAACATAATTTAATATCTTCTATTCTTAGATTTCGTTATATAGGTTTTTCCCGCAGTAAACTTTATCGACTCCTTTTATAACGAAAACATCCACACACAAAAACGGTATAAGCTTCTATTTGTTGTATGTACTATGTTACAATGTTTATAACACCAAAAATGTTGTACACTGCGGCATCAAGTGGCGGACACAGCCAGCATCAATTATAACGTTTCTTAGATACACCTATACCGTTGTTCTTTTATTGGTAGTTCAATTTTAAAACATGAGCACGTGTCTGTTTCTAGTATGTATGTATGTATGTATGTATGTATGTATGTATGTATGTATGTATGTATGTATGTATGTATGTATGTATGTATGTATGTATGTATGTATGTATGTATGTATGTATGTATGTATGTATGTATGTATGTATGTATGTATGTATGTATGTATGTATGTATGTATGTATGTATGTATGTATGTATGTATGTATGTATGTATGTATGTATGTATGTATGTATGTATGTATGTATGTATGTATGTATGTATGTATGTATGTATGTATGTATGTATGTATGTATATGTATGTATGTATGTATGTATGTATGTATGTATGTATGTATGTATGTATGTATGTATGTATGTATGTATGTATGTATGTATGTATGTATGTATGTATGTATGTATGTATGTATGTATGTATGTATGTATGTATGTATGTATGTATGTATGTATGTATGTATGTATGTATGTATGTATGTATGTATGTATGTATGTATGTATGTATGTATGTATGTATGTATGTATGTATGTATGTATGTATGTATGTATGTATGTATGTATGTATGTATGTATGTATGTATGTATGTATGTATGTATGTATGTATGTATGTATGTATGTATGTATGTATGTATGTATGTATGTATGTATGTATGTATGTATGTATGTATGTATGTATGTATGTATGTATGTATGTATGTATGTATGTATGTATGTATGTATGTATGTATGTATGTATGTATGTATGTATGTATGTATGTATGTATGTATGTATGTATGTATGTATGTATGTATGTATGTATGTATGTATGTATGTATGTATGTATGTATGTATGTATGTATGTATGTATGTATGTATGTATGTATGTATGTATGTATGTATGTATGTATGTATGTATGTATGTATGTATGTATGTATGTATGTATGTATGTATGTATGTATGTATGTATGTATGTATGTATGTATGTATGTATGTATGTATGTATGTATGTATGTATGTATGTATGTATGTATGTATGTATGTATGTATGTATGTATGTATGTATGTATGTATGTATGTATGTATGTATGTATGTATGTATGTGTGTGTGTGTGTGTGTGTGTGTGTGTGTGTGTGTGTGTGTGTGTGTGTGTGTGTGTGTGTGTGTGTGTGTGTGTGTGTGTGTGTGTGTGTGTGTGTGTGTGTGTGTGTGTATGTATGTATGTATGTATGTATGTATGTATGTATGTATGTATGTATGTATGTATGTATGTATGTATGTATGTATGTATGTATGTATGTATGTATGTATGTATGTATGTATGTATGTATGTATGTATGTATGTATGTATGTATGTATGTATGTATGTATGTATGTATGTATGTATGTATGTATGTATGTATGTATGTATGTATGTATGTATGTATGTATGTATGCGTGTATGTATGTATGTATGTATGTATGTATGTATGTATGTATGTATGTATGTATGTATGTATGTATGTATGTATGTATGTATGTATGTATGTATGTATGTATGTATGTATGTATGTATCTATGTGTATGTATGTATGTATGTATGTATGTATGTATGTATGTATGTATGTATGTATGTATGTATGTATGTATGTATGTATGTATGTATGTATGTATGTATGTATGTATGTATGTATGTATGTATGTATGTATGTATGTATGTATGTATGTATGTATGTATGTATGTATGTATGTATGTATGTATGTATGTATGTATGTATCTATGTGTGTGTATGTATGTATGTATGTATGTATGTATGTATGTATGTATGTATGTATGTATGTATGTATGTATGTATGTATGTATGTATGTATGTATGTATGTATGTATGTATGTATGTATGTATGTATGTATGTATGTATGTATGTATGTATGTATGTATGTATGTATGTATGTATGTATGTATGTATGTATGTATGTATGTATGTATGTATGTATGTATGTATGTATGTATGTATGTATGTATGTATGTATGTATGTATGTATGTATGTATGTATGTATGTATGTATGTATGTATGTATGTATGTATGTATGTATGTATGTATGTATGTATGTATGTATGTATGTATGTATGTATGTATGTATGTATGTATGTATGTATGTATGTATGTATGTATGTATGTGTATGTATGTATGTATGTATGTATGTATGTATGTATGTATGTGTGTGTGTATGTATGTATGTATGTATGTATGTATGTATGTATGTATGTATGTATGTATGTATGTATGTATGTATGTATGTATGTATGTATGTATGTGTGTGTGTGTGTATGTATGTATGTATGTATGTATGTATGTATGTATGTATGTATGTATGTATGTATGTATGTATCTGGTAATCTGGTAATCCTAGTTTCAGCATCATAGCCAACGGGTCACCCCATTGTTGCTCCGCTCCTGTGCCAACGAAAAACACTCGTAGCTCACAGTGTCACACCATGCACTCAACTCAGAAGCTGGGTGACGAAACCATATCCTTCCAGTCTACAAATGTATGTATGTATGTATGTATGTATGTATGTATGTATGTATGTATGTATGTATGTATGTATGTATGTATGTATGTATGTATGTATGTATGTATGTATGTATGTATGTATGTGTGTGTGTGTGTGTGTGTGTGTATGTATGTATGTATGTATGTATGTATGTATGTATGTATGTATGTATGTATGTATGTATGTATGTATGTATGTATGTATGTATGTATGTATGTATGTATGTATGTATGTGTGTGTGTGTGTATGTATGTATGTATGTATGTATGTATGTATGTATGTATGTATGTATGTATGTATGTATGTATGTATGTATGTATGTATGTATGTATGTATGTATGTATGTATGTATGTATGTATGTATGTATGTATGTATGTATGTATGTATGTATGTATGTATGTATGTATGTATGTATGTATGTATGTATGTATGTATGTATGTATGTATGTATGTATGTATGTATGTATGTATGTATGCATGTATGCATATATGTATGTATGTATGTATGTATGTATGTATGTATGTATGTATGTATGTATGTATGTATGTATGTATGTATGTATGTATGTATGCATGCATATATGTATGTATGTATTACCTACGTACTTATGCATGTATTATGTATCTATGAATTTATCTATGTATGTAAGTGTGTTTACGCACGCGCGTGTGTGTATGTAATATGTATGTATGTGTCTGTTTTACATGTGAGAGTATACATATTTTATCACCTGCTATACATATATAATTTTTTTTTTTTTTTATCTTTCACATTAAAGAGACATGTTTCCTCTCTTTCAACCGACCCCATTTTACAAAACCAGAAATATGCAGACGGCCCTGAAAAAATATTTAATCGATGCAAGAGAGAAACTGCTCACTATGTCTTGTGTTTGAGCAACTTCTGTTAAATCCTTCCTCTCCCCACAACGCATTCCTCTTTGTTAGACACAACGCCCGCGAGAACTCTATCGAGTGCCAGAAAATGCTGAAAATCGAACAAAGGCGACGCTATAAACAGTTGTATGTCCAATTATCCTTGCAGCAAGAAGATAACGTATCTGGAGAGTCGTGCCTGGGAAAAATCGACTGCATGCCTCGCTAACTGTCATCATCACTATCACTACCATCATCTCATGTGCTATGTCAATTTGTGTAGGCAATCATTGTTCCTCATCCTAAACGATAACCATAATTATGATTCATGCTCTTGTGACCGTATGTGTTATCTTATGTGTTTGTCGGAAATGTTGTCAGGTGTCGGATCGTGACACACTGGAATCCTGAAGCGGGGAGTTTGCCATTTTCCTTCTCGAAAATGATAATACCGTTCTAATGACGTAGCAATTTGCGATATATAGGAATGGTATTTTAATTTCTTATGGAAACTGTTAGGCCGCTGGTGGTGTGATAATACACAGTGGTAAGGAAAAAACATACGGACGTGAAAGGTGGCTCTTAATATGCGAAACTTTGAAAGAAAATACACACATTGTAAATTAAATCTTTTCGACAGATTTTTGGCATATCATACAGAGAGCACATCACAAATTTTGAAATCTTCTGTATCATAATTCAACGCATTGACAAAGGTGAATTTTTTCTAAAAATAGCAAACAGACAAAAAATGCAACGGTGTTTCTTCAAAACGATAAAACAGTGATCGGTAGAGAGAAAGAAAAGCAGACACGAGTCGTTACTTCCCTCCTGAACTTTGTAAACAAAAGGACCTACTAGTGACCTAGCGGTTACTCAGATAAAACAAGCAGTTGCTTTTGGGTGTGGTCGTATTTGTACTAAAATTATAAATGATTCACTTATTTGCTTAAGTTGTTTCATTGTTACTGTAGTATGCACCTGACAAGATGCAGCAAAATATGTCAGGCAATAAATTGTGCAAATCTGTTGCTTCTATCTTTTTTGTTTTGTTCGAAAATCACATTGCTAATAATCAGGAATTTAGACAGGATGCTGCAGAATTGCTACCGCTTCCTGCACAATCTTTGTTAGATGCAGACAGGCATTAGAGTGCAACAAAATCACACCGCGAGAAAGCATGTCAGGACGTTTATTCTTGGTGGGTTTTTGGCAGCTTTCTTCTATTTCCAAGTCATGGGTAGAATTGATGTTGACACCAGGTTCTTTAAAAGTCTGCCAACAATCGTCCTTTTTGGTTTGAACACAAAAATTCGCTCAGCATAATCTTACCAGCGGAAAC